GAAGTGACCCAACCAAGAGGAAGAGGCAGCCGCTGTGGCTGGGAGGCTGTGGGGCAGAGGCGGGGTGAGGAGGAATGAGGAGGGAGGAACTAGAGGAAGGGAGGGAGGGGGAGGGAGGCTGCAAGCAGTCCTGCGGGGCCGAGGGCCGGGGAGCCCGAGGGGGAGGTGGTGTGAGGCGGCAGACTGTCTGGCTGAGCCTCAGCCCCGCGGGGGCCATGCCCCCGGCCCACCATGAACCTGGAAGGGCTGGAGATGGTCGCTGTGCTCGTGGTCCTCGCTCTGTTCGTCAAGGTCCTGGAGCAGTTTGGCCTCTTCGAGCCTGTCTCCTTGGAAGGTAACCCAGGGGCCTGGGCATGTCTGAGCTGGTGGCTGGGGGTCAGCCTCCCTGCATCACAGCGTGGGGAGAGGGTTCCTCCATCTTTGAGTTTTTGATGGGGCCAGGGGTGAGCAAATTGGTGATGGGGGAGGCATTTGGGGGAGGAGAGGAGGGAATCCAGTTGCAGGGACAGTGACTGGGGAGATGATGAGGCATGGGAAATCTGGGGGGTACCAGGAAGGGGCAAGGATGTCTGGAGCAAAGGAGGACTACTTCAAGGACCCTAAAATAACATCAGAGTTCCAGGGAGTCCCTTTTGGAGCCAGAAGCCCACAATGGCTCTAAAGATGTGTGTGACTCCCCACACCTCCATCCGGGCAGGTGTAAGGTGCAGGGTATGTGTGGACTCAGTGTGTAAGAGACACGGAATGTGACCATGTGCTCTTGTGTGACAGAGGGCAAAGTGTGACACGTGAGCCTGTGTATGTGACAGGGATGTGAGTGCACATGTCAGGGCGACAGGGCATGTACATTTATGAGATGTGGATGTCCCGTGCCCGAGCGGGATGAGGAACATGATTGAGCCTCTTTAGGTACTGGGTTGTGTGTGTGGCTGTTCCCAGAGTCCCCCAAGATTATGCCAGCTCCATCCCCAAGTGGTTCTGGAGGGACAGGAGTGGGCCTGGGAATGAGACATTTACAGCTCAGCGTGGGCTGGGGGGGCGGCGGTGGGGTGAACAGTGGATGGTGCATCGGGTTAGGGACCCTGCTTCCCAAGCCCTTTACCTCTCTAAGCTCCCCTCGGGATTCAAGGGCTGAAGGTCTCCAGGACGTTAACCCCTCCCCCCAGTGGGAAATCAGTTTCTCACCCCACCCCAAACTCAGCAGGGAGAGGATCGTTGTGGTGGGGAGGACAGCACTTCTGCCCCCCAAGCCCCAGTTTCGGCCTCCTCCTCTTTTTTTT